GCTGTTACTAATAAAAATGACACTGCTGTATCCTATCAAATTCTCCCCTGCTGTATTTAGAGAGGAAATACTGTTTTAGCCTTGTCATGTATCTGCATTCTCTTTATAGATATTTTCTTTTCACTTTTCTGCTCTCTTTCAAGATGTAGATGCATCAGTCTGAAATCTGAATACTAGGGAACTTTTTTGTTTAATATATTTAAATTTATAATTCAAAAGGAATAGCAATTTATATACATACATGAACCAAGATAAAATGGAAGGTATACATTTGATAGCACACATAATTTGAAAATTAAGAATACTAAGCCCTTGTATGATCCCAATTATTTCCAAAATACATTTTTCTCTCTTCTTTTCAACCACATTTTTTAATAAAATAATATTATACGCAAACCCAAAACTTTTATTTATTTTTTAACCACACATTCTCCATCAATCTACCATTCCAAAATGCATTCTTGAATAAAAATGGGGCTCGGCAGGCTCTAAGTGTATACTCTCGTAGATATTTTTTTTCCTTTTCTGGAAACTGGAAAGAAAGAACTCTTGTTAGATTGAAGTGTTTAGGACAGTGATATTGATATATTAAAAATGAGACATGCTGCTCAAGAAACTTATTACATAATTATTCCACTGGGACTGCATATTAACCTGGTAAAGTGGGAGGAAGATTGACAAGGTTGTGGAAAGGAGGAAATAGGAAAGAAATAGTTCTGTAACTCAAATATTTTAGGCTGAGTTTATACAAGTATTTCTTTTGCTGCTGATTGTTTTTTATTTTCTTAGGTTTTGGAGACTAAAGCAAACTTTTTGGTTTCCTTCATATTTAATGGGTTGAAAATTGAATACCGATTCATGTAACCCTGGAAAATTTTTCTGTTGACTACTTTAGCTAGCATATTGCTGGACTGATAGGGTTTTGTGTGTACGAGGTCTTCTATTCTGTTGTACTTTTCTTATTTCTTATTTTGCTATGCAGTGGTTGGAGTCAGAGGTTATGCGCCTTAACCATCTTCGTGATCGAGCTAGTGATTTAGGGCGTAGGAAGGAATATCCTTTTTACCCCCTTGAGTATATTATATTGCTTTATACTTTTATTTTTATTTTACAGTTAGGTATAAGCGCATTTGTCCCCTTTATAGCTTATATTTTTGTCTTAAATTATAGATTCGAATGCTTAGCTTGTCCGAAATATGAACATGTTGCATGCAGTCAAATAGATATTCATGGCCAAGAGAAATTATATTCTCAAATCACTGTCTAGGAGGATCCTATATTATTCAAGTGGCAATTGTTGTTGCATGGGGTCTGATCATTACCATATCTTATAGGTACAGATGCTAATTTTTTCATCTATAGAAATGTAAGTTATCCTTGACTGATTTTCACGCTTAGAGAGTGTGTGGAAAAATTACAACTTTTGAAGACCCCTGACGAACGCCGTCGTAGACTAGAGGAAATTCCTGAAATACACGCAGATCCCAAAATGGATCCAAGTTATGAGTCTGATGAGGATGACAATGAAACTGACAACATTAAACGAGGTTTATTATATAATTTTGTCTTTATCAATGGAAAAATTGCATCTCTGGTCCCTAACCTACTGTCCCATTGGTCCTCAACCTTTAAAAAGGGGCCTGCTGGTCCCCCAATCTCTCATTATAGTTGCATAATCAATCCCTAGTGACGCAAAATATTCAAATCTCCATTAAATCATCACGTGGCAAACTTTATGAAGTTAGGTTTTGCTTTCCTATTTAGATTGGTGTCCAAAAAATAGAAGCAAGGCGTGCTTCAATGAGTTCACACAACAAAAATGAAGATTTGGATGGCTTCCCTCATTGAGGACTTGTGCGTCATTAATGTGAGGTTGGGACCAATTTACTCATTTTTGGAATTGAGGACGAACTTTCTAGTGGGACAATAGGTGGGGACCAACAGTGCAATTTTCCTTTCTTTTTCTAGTTTGGTATTTAATGCAACAGCTATGGAATCATAATCCTGATTTTGTTTTGTTGCATTTAGATTCTTTAATGAGATCTGGAAGTTCTAGCTTTAACAGGAGAGGAAGAGGTCTTATCTCTCCAGGAAGTGATTATGATGCAAAAGATACTTGGAATGGCTTGGAAAATTTTTCTAGTAAGAATTTGGAATCAAGAAGAAACCTCTCGAGCAAGAGTATGTATACTAATGCTTCTCATTCTGGCGAAATAGTTATTGAGAATTCATGGAACCAAGATAGAGACAAGGACGTTCAAGAATCTAAATCTGTTGAATGGACTATGAATTCCTTGTCCCAATCCCAGTCCCTTTCTGTTGCTTCACCTGTAACTTCAATGGTATCTCTCTCAGATAGTGTGGCAGAAACTGCTGTTAGTATAAATGAAACTGAAAAGGTTTGGCATTACAAGGATCCTTCTGGAAAAGTGCGAGGACCATTTTCTATGACGCAGTTGCATAAATGGAACAATACAGGATACTTTCCTGCGGATCTGAGAATCTGGAGAACCACATTAGAGCAAGAACCTATACTTCTTACTGACGCATTGGCTGGGAAATATCAGAAAGACTTACCAGCAGTTGACAATAGATTTCCCACAATTAATATTATGCACAGTCCGGTTATCTCGTCGAGTCATCCTGGTAAGATTTCTGGAACATCCTTGCACCAAGATATGCAGAGACCAAATACTAATCAAGATCCTAGAGCTCACCCTAAAAATTCCACAGAAAATTGGATTGGGAATGATTCGACAAACCTACCATCTCCTACTCCAAAACAAAAAAATGCAGGATGGATGGGAGAAGACGAGGATCTTTTCCATGGTGCAGCTCAATACCCTAGTGGCACTGGATTGCTTCATTCACCTTCTCCTGCCTTACCAAACACCGTGGCATATTCTTCTCCTACTGCTTCAGTTCTGAATTCTGTTGTCCAATCTGGCACTGCTTTTTCTCCAATGTCAAACTCTGAAAAAGGTGTTCTTGCAGGCTCCGTTGATTCACTACAAATTCAGTCAAACATGAGTAGTGAACCACACAGCGTACAGATGCATGGCCATCTGCCCACTATCGTCCAATCAGTTCACACGGCTATTAGTCTGAACCCTCATGTTGAAACTTCTGGTTGGGGCAGCAGTCCACAGTCTGGACGAGGCAAGGCTCAGGTTTGGGGTGGCAATACATTGGATGTTCAGAACTCTGCTGGAAATTTCTCGAACTCAGATATTGCAGCTATATCTCAACCTGATTTGTGGAGACCGCCTACTCAGGGCATTCTACCCAACATGCTGCCCCCTAGTACACAAAATGTATCTTGGGGCACGAGACCTGAATATGCAAACACCGGGTGGGGTAATGTGCAGGCAAATCCAAACACAGGGTGGGGAACACCCACGCCGGGAAGTGCAAATATAAATGTGGGACCGGCTGTTCAAGCACCGACTCTGGGAAATACTTCTGGTTGGGTTGGTCCTTCAGGAAATCCTGGAACTACTGTTCAAGGGCCGGTTTTTGGAAATGTGAATTCTGGTTGGGTTGCAACTCCAGGTTGGGGGAGTGCTCCAGTTCAAGGGCCAGTACCCATACCAGTACCTGGGAATGGGTGGGGGCCACCTAGTGGAAATTCAGGAACTCCCGTCCAAGGACTAGCACAAGCAAACCCGAATCAAGGTTTTGGCGCACCAGCAGGGAGCCAAGGTGTGTGGGGAGGCGGTCAAAACCACAATGGAGGTCAGTTCTCCAGTCAAATGGAAATGAGGGATCCTGGTTTTGGTGGTGGAAGGACTTCTTGGAACAGACCGTCATCATTTGGCAGTGGAGGTTCTAGACCTTTCAACAAGCGGGGTAAAGTTTGTCCATACAATGCAAACGGGAGATGTAGGAAGGGGGCACGTTGTGATTATATACACACATAAAAAGGAGGAATTCATAGCTGGCGCTCGTAGATGATTTTGCAGAGTCATTTAATATTAGTGTTTCGACTTTTTATTATAGCCTCAGACCATCTAGTTGTTCTTGGAAACCCTTTTTCTGTTTAGCTGCAAAAGTTTTGTTCCTTCATCAGTAATGTAAATCTTTAGTTTCTATGATCCCTGCTCGACCTGATTCAATTTTCTTTTTCTATTTTTTATTTTTATTTATTTATTTATTTTTAAAGTCTGCTTCAATGGAGCACGAGTATGTTGTCTTGATAAAGCTTTGGGATTTCGGAATATGTCGCAAGATTTTTCTTGGGTAGCTCAAAATGCAGTCTCTTGAGGAAATAAAACCTGGAGCGAGAACTTGTTTGAACAGTTATGATATCGGCATTGAGCATGTTTGGTTAAACTTAGTGAACAAGTTATTCATTGATTAAAGCTATTTATTTTGACAATAAGTTAAGAATTATTTAAAGTAAATACATGTCTTACTCTAAAAATAAGAACGAAGTAACATATAGGTCCCGTTTGGTACACATTAATGTAAAAATGAGAATGAAAAATATAGTTGTCATGGGTCTCACACTTGATGTGATAAATAACGATTATATTTTTCATTTTAATGGGTAAATAATGAGAAACAAACGGGGGCATAAAAACATTTTTAAAACAAAAATAAATGCTATGGACCTTAACCGTGATACCTTATGCAAAGGTTTAAAATAAATTAGTAATTTTTTAATAAATTAAGAATAATTAAAAAAATAAATATTTATTTTATTTTATTTAAAACAAAAGGTAAATAAAAATATATTGGTAGTGATTAAAATTAATTTTTTAGTAGATTTTGATAGAAGTCGATGAAATGTGTGGTTGAATTATTGTGAAAAAAAATCTATAAAATATGTGATTAAAATTAATTGTCAATTTTGATTTAGATTAAAATCTAAATTTTAATTAGTATTCCAGTACTACGCGGGCGTCCGGACGGAGTGACCCGTTGATTTTTCTCCTATAGCCTTCAACGGCGTCGTTTGTCTGGTTCGAAGTGGAAAAATTAAAGAAAACGAAATAAAATGATGCACACAAATGCGTTTTGCGCAAGAAACTGTTTGTCTATTCAATAGTCCAAGCATTCAATTTCTCTCTTTAACCTCTACGTTTCTCTTCAATTAAATTCAGGCCATCAGCAGAAATACTTTTCTTTGATTCCCTTTCAGAATCTTTTTACTTTTCACCAATTAACATTTATAAATCATTCATGTTTGTAGCAGTTGTTTGCTGTATATAATCCAGTATTTTGTGATAATTGATACTATTCAAAATTTTGAATACTGATGGGTGCTTGTAAGCGTGTGATTCAATTTGGCATCAATTCTGGGATTAACTCCGCCAGATTGCTAGGAATCAATGCGGCAAGAGATTCTACAGTAAACGCTCTCAAATTGACTGGAAATTCTGTCAGTTCATTTAGTTCGTTATCCTCAAGTCTGCCTGGATACCAATTTGACTATAGACAGATCTCTCAGCTCGTCAAGCCCAAGGGAAAGCGTGTTTATCTTGTTGATACGCTGGCACTGGTAATTTTTTCTTTTTATAGTTTCTTTTTGGTTTGGTTGCTCACAAGGAAGAAAAATGAGAGTTGAACTTTAAATACTATAATGGTAATATTGTAAAATAAAAAATAATGATATGGTTATTCTTATATTTCAGAGATAAAACTTTTTGGGAATTTTGAAGTGTGAAATTAGTTGTATCAATTATTCATCATATTTATTTGTTTCTATACACATATGAATGTAAACATACAGGTTGGAACTCTGTTTGTATTATCTGTGTGCATGATAAACAATTGTCAATTGGAATCAATGCGTGTATCATATTTTTCTTTTGTTTACTTGTGCGCATTTATGATTCTCTATGTGAAAATTACTGCATATTGGATGACATGAACTGAAAGTTGCTTGTTATATTTTCAGAAAGTCCTGTTTTGGAGGAACTGGGGTTTAATTGGTAATTCTTTATTTTGGTAGTTAGATGGGAAGGAAGACATATTTGTATGCTTAGTAGGACTTTTATTGTTGAGGACAGGTTAGAAGTTTAGAAGCAAAAGGCATACCTTCAAAACATGCTGAGGCGATAACATTGGCAATGACTGAGGTTTTGGATGAGTGTATGGAGAATATTTCACAATCTCTCATTTCAAAAGCTGAGATGCAGAAAGTAAGGCTTATAGAGTGTATTACGTAATATATATTATATACTTTATACTTGGCTTGTAGTTTTGTAAACTTAACATGAAGGATTTATTATGTTTTCTTTCCTCCATAATGATTTTCTTTCCTCCTCAGATTAAGATGGGTCAAGAAGCCAACCTTTCTAGGTTTCAGTCTGAAGTTCAAGGTTCCCAGGTATGAGATTGTTTACAATTTTAATTTTGGTATGGGGATTGTTTACAATTTTAATTTTGACCCAGAATACATTGTGTTTTAAGTGGATGCCTACTAATTTGGAGTTTTCAGCTAACATGTCATTATCATTTGTCCACTGTCTCTTTCTGATGTTTACACTTTCATGGTTTGTGGATTGCTTATTTCTTCTTACTTCTATGTCATTTGCAAGAATCAACTAATGCAGCATTGCATTGAGAATCTCTTCCTGAAAGCTTAATTCTGATTGTGCATGCTCTTTCACGGGCTTAGTTTGTTGTTGTTACATTTATGTACGGTGTCTTCAGACAATGTTAATCACATATTCTACTATTCTGTGTAGGATTTATTGCTTTATAGTGTAACATAGCATGGAAATCCTTTAATTGTACTGGACCACCGGCTATGTTTTGAAGGGGATAAATTTATAGAACTAATCTTCTAAAGTAATACTTTAAGCAGTTTAAGGACAATGTGGGAGGTATTTGTGAAAATGGCAAGAGGTGGAACTTGTGTTATATAAGAAGTTTCTACTTAGATTTAAAAATGGCATATGAGTCGCTTTTTTGCGTTTTTACAGGTAGGCGGAGGAGGATAGAGAGATATGGATTTGTTTATCTGTGGATCTAAAAATTTAATGGGTTGTGACTCTTATACCATATTTGGCTAAGCTTAAAATGTTTACTTTTAAGTAAATAAATAATTTTTAAACTGTAAATTTTAAGAAACATGTCAGCTAGTAGAGACAAAATGTTACTTAAAAAGTATATTGTTTTTAGGTTCAGCAAACATGCTCGGCATAAATTGGGCCTTGAAGAAAAGGATATAAAAATTTAAGATGGTTGGAAATTTTGAAAAATATATTGGCAGAAGATACAAACCTCCATACTGATCTATTTAACAATCTGGAATTGGGATAATAAATTCTATTTGATGCCAGGTCTTGGGAAAAAAGATTAAGTCTCTTGTTTGATGGCTGACTTCTGATCGTTGATTCCATTTCACATGCCTGTTTGAACTGGAACTGTTCTATTTACCATTTACTTTTTTCTTTTCTTTTTTTGGAGTCGCCTGCTTATCATTTGATATCTCAACTTGTGGAAATATTTCAAGTCACTTGAAAGTTGTTATAAATGCACAAGTTTAACATCTTCATAGCTCATTGTTTAGCTGTGGACTCCAGTGGAAAACTGGTGAAAATATCCTCGACTGTGCTAGTTCAGAATATTTTCTGACGTCGATATGTAGTTTACTTATGTTTCATTTCTAAGTAGGCAACTTCATAACATGGTTCTTTGGATGTTCTCGTTTACTCAAATTCTTCACTAGTAGACAATTATATTGAAGTGTCATTCTTGTTCATCTGATTGCCTACCTTCGCTGCAGGAACGTCATTTTTCTTTGTTGCAACGTGAAGCTGAAAAGCTCATGAATGATATTCAGAAAATGCGTGGAGAACTGAGGTCTTTATTCTAATCTAATGCAATCATATGTTTTTAACTTGAACTTCATTACCAGTTGAAGGCCCACGTTTTGAACAGGTATGAGATTGACAAGGTCACTGCCGGCCAGCGCTTGGATTTGAATCTTGAAAGGGGGTAAGGATTTGATTGTTAAAGTTTGCATTTCTTTTGATTCTGGAATTGTATTTTCATCGCATGCATCTCTTTCTCAGTCGCATCCGAGATGAGCTTTCCAATCAGAGTGCAGAAACTACGAACCTTACTAACAAGCTAGATGGAGTGAGTTTTATTTTATTATTTTTTTTAAAAATTAAATTTAAGAAGGTAATTTATTTATTTGCTTCAATTAGAAGCATCGATTTATGTGTTGTTAACTATTTTCTTAATAGGAAATTCACGCATTGCGGGCTCATGTTGAAGCAGCAAAGAACGACGTGATCAAATATTGTATAGGAACCCTTTTATCTATATCTGCCGTTGGTATTGGAATGATTCGCGTTTTTAGCGCCAAATGAGGCAGTGTGTAGGTGTCCGAATATTGGAGGAATTAAGACACCCATAATTATTTTTTGGATTTGCAGAAGCCAGTTATTTCTTCATTTTTGAATGATTATTCTTTTGCCTACATGCTTTTACAATGCTGAAAAGTATCTGTGATACTTATTCAACATTACTTATTAATGCTCATGCTTTTAAAGTTTACTTATGAGTAAGTTTTAAAATCATTTATGACATTTTTACATCAATTGTGTACGCTCATGTTGATACTTGATGTGTTGTCAAGAAATAAAAAATGACACATGGAATGATGTAAACGAAAGTGTAGATCATGATGTACATCAAACATGGTTGTCATTTCAAGAATTAGATTTCAACTTTATTCTTTAAACAGTCACATACACCTTATCTACACACTCCTTAAATCTAATTCATTTTCTATTTAAACAAAAGGTCATAGAACTTCTCACCTTTCTCATTCTCCGATCACTTCTCCAATCATAGAACCACCATAGCACCATTGTTGCGTGAAGCACAGTAGTTGCGTAACACGAAGTAGCAACGACAATTTTGGAATGGTTTTTGTTGTGGTTGTTAGTTGTTTGCATATGACGGTGATTGTTTTGCAGTTGCAATTAGTGGGTGTGCGGTGGTGGTGATGAATTAGGGTGGATAGGGGTGGGGTGAAGAGTGTTTGTTACCAATTATTTGAGCGATTGTGATCAATACAAAGGTTAATTTATGATCGATAAATTATATGTTTTTTGACCAATAAATAACGTGACCTAAAAAAAGTGTGATAGCAACTAAACTTATGATTATGATTGCCATTTTGTGTCTCTGTAGACGTGACTGGAATTGTGCATTGTGACATTTTGACAAGCTATTGTAACCACCACAAATTTCACTACTAGATTTTTGAATTTTTTCACAAATTTCTTGTTTTTGAAAATATATCTTTAACCTTTGTAATTATGTAATTAAAAGGTTATATTTAAATCTTTCTTTGGAATAAACTTATCATTCAATTTTCATTTGTTTCATGATGGTCACTCACTTACACTTTTATTTCAGTTTAATTATTCCTTCACAAACCATGACAAAAAAAACCTAGTGCTTGTTTAAAGTTAAACCAATATTTTTAAAAATTTCCATCAACCACATCCAACCAGCCATTAGTTTGGATCAAATTAGTTACATATAAAATAGTCCAATTGAAATAAAAATATAGGTTAAGAAATAAAATTAAAATAAATCTAAGTTAGGTGAGCGACATAAAATAAACTTGTAAGTTGAAGGACTTCACTAAAATTTTTCCTGTTTTCTTTTGATTTTTCCGAGTTAAATGTTTCGTTAGCCACTGAACTTTGCACCATATCACGGCTTACTCATCGAACTTACAAAATTGTCCCGTTGGCCACTGAACTTCACTCTGTTCAACTCCATCACTCACCCATTTAAATCCGTTAACAGACTCGTCTACGTGGATGATGGAAATCCTACTTGGCCAGTTAGATTCGTCCAAATATGAATTGAATTTCCAACTCGCCTCCAATTGAGCACTGCCCAACACGCCTTTTTCTATGTAATTGGAATCATGCTTTGATTTAACTTCCGCAACATGCGTCTCTTACAGATTTCAGAGAGAGAGAAACATGTGAAGTGAAATAACCAAATCCCCAACTTGAAGGTAATTTCGAAACCCTAAGCCCCAAATCAAGGATATCAAATACCTAACCATCGTTCATATTTAGACGAGCCTACCCAAAGAGTGGAGAAGCAACACCCATTTCATTTGATTAAATTGATGGCGGCAGAGCAGTGGGCGTGTCGATGGAGAGTAACTCTTCTTTTCTTTTCTTTTTTTGGGTTTGGAAGAGGTCATAGACTTGCTAAAGATAATGTAGATAAATATAATTTTTCGTTATCTAAAGTTCTTGTAGTTGATTGTGTGAGTATGTTGTTGTTCCACATTTTACCAAATCTTTCTTCGTAATGGCCGCAGTCTGTTGTTCACCATTTTTTATGTTCTTTATGTCCAGAATCATATGTATGTGTAGTTCATTATATACCATTGTCATGTTTACATTGGCTAGTCTGTTGTTCCTGTTTGTATTCTGCATGTGTCGTTTTTTAATGTGGTTTAATTGCATTATAGATTGTGAAGAAGATCCGGACTTTGTAGATTCCAACCACAACTTTGAGTTCGAACAAGACGATATTGAATATGATAGACATGTAACTGAGGGAATGGAAATTGGAATGGACGATCATGAAGATGAAGTTTTGCAGGACCAACGAAAAGAGGGCAGTGATAACGAGTTGGATGAATTGGAACTATGTTCATCCAATGAGGATGGTGGCTACCATTTTTCTGAATTCTCTATTGATCAGCACATGAAAAATCCGTAGTTCGAGGTGGGGCAAATATTCAGTTCCGCAATAGAGTTTCGGGAGGTGATGTAAGCATACGGTGCACTAAATCGTTACAATGTAAAGTTTAAGGCAAACGAGGAAAGATGAGTGCAAGGAGTTTACAAATTGGGTTGCAAATGGAGAATATAGGCTTCTAAATTTGATGTATTCGAGAGGTTGCAAGTAAAATCTTACATTTCAGAGCATACTTGCAGTCGGGACCAGTTTAATAGACATTGCAATTACATATTTTTGACGCATCGGTATATTGAGCAATTTAAGGCGGACCCAGATTGGAAAACTAAGCTTATTTTGACAACAAAGAAGAAGGATCTCCGCACGAACTTTAGTAGAAACGTAGCATGGAAGATGCGGAGATATGCCAAAGAAGTGTTATTGGGAAATTTGCAAGAGCAGTTTAGGCAGTTGCGATCATATGCAGTCGAGGTATTACGTACAAATGTCAGCTCGACAGTCATAATTGCATTACATGAGCAGATTTTCCAGGCGATCTATATATACTTCAATTGTTGTAAGATAAGATTCGGGGATGGTTGTAGGAAGGTGGTAGGTGTTGATGGTTGTCACTTAAGGGGTTGTTTCGGAGGGATAATGTTAACTGCAGTTGATCTTGAAGCTAACGATTGCATTTATCCTGTGGCAACTGCAGTTGTTCAGAAAGAAAATACAGCAGCTTGGCGATGGTTCTTGACCCATCTTTCAGATGATATTAGGATAGGAAATGGGAGAGGTTGGACTCTTATGATTGACAGGCAAAAGGGTTTACAAAATGTCACAGACGAGTCGTTCCCTGAGGCTGAGCATAGGCTCTATGTAAGACATTAGTACACAAACTTTTTTACTGTCGGGTTTAAGAGTAAAATTCTGAAGAATTTCTTGTGGCGTGCTGTGAAGTCGACCACCGTTGCTGACTACTAATATTGGATACAACAAATTCATCAACTCGATGAGGATGCATACATTTATGGAGAGGCATATGTAAGAATGGAGTAGATCAAATTTCTCAGTTCATTCGAAGAGTGACATTTTGCTGAACAATTTATGTGAAGTGTTCAACAAGACTTTGCGGAGTGATAGAGAGAAGATGATTTTGTCGATGCTAACTTCACAGTAGTTAACCTTCATGAATAGGATTTGAAAGCGTCGAGACAAGATGATGAGGTGCACAATACAATTGTGTTCGAAAATCAAGAAAAAATTACACAAGCATGCTAAGAAATCGCGTGAATGCACTTTGCTCTTTTCTGATGGTCCGAAATGGCAAGTTGAATGCAGTTTCGGGACGTATGTCGTAGACCTACAAGAAAGAACCAGTGCATGTAAGAATGGAAGCTTATAGGCATACCATGCATGCATGCGGTGGCAGTAATTAGGGAATGTAGAAATGATACAGAAGATTTCGTTGACAATTGTTACACGATTGAGACATAAATGAGATGCTACAATAGTATCATGAGCTGGACATGCGTGATATCATTCCACTGGCATGGATTGTGCCATGAAAAAGAAAGAGACAAATATATCGGAGAAAATGAGTGAAAAGGTGATCATGCATTCACAGGAGAAAACATATATTTGGAGAAAGGGACGATTGACAATGACATGCTCGTTATGCGGAGAGCGGGTCATAACAAGCGATACCACTCTAGGTCGGATGCACCTGCTGCTGTGAGTATGATATTATTTCTTACGAAGTGTACTAGTCCTACAAGGTGTAGTGAAGTTGAAATTAATCTATTCGATGGTTAACATTTGTTGGACATGATTTGTTCGATGTACATCTTGAGCCAGTTGGCACGAACTGGGATAGAGCGATCGACCAACGAGTTAGTAAAAGTTTGCTTTATTATTTTAACTCACAGTCGTGATAGTTGTTGCATTATGTGACCTATCTGTTTATGTGATATATGCATTACATAGGGCAAAATGGTGGCAGACAAGGGGTCGCGAGCGTCAACGGAGCATAATCCTATGGATGAACAACCCTTCCATTTCATTCCAACTTCCATGGTAACGTATGAATCTTAATCATATGGTCTCAAATCTGGTCCAACGGCAATGATGAGTTCTCGTCGATTCCTGGTGATGTGCCAACCGATATTGTGAACTTCGATGATGTCGTCGACGACTTGCAAGAATGTGGCACTATAAGAGGGGGAATGGCTAAAAAATGACAATGCACATAGCAGTCGATTTGACTTCAGCTGGTTTTGGGTTTTTGTGAAGGTATGAAGATATGCTTTTTGGACGAAATTACCCAGCTACTTGCATGTGAGAAGGCAATGGCATTGTCCGAATTGGATCACTTATATGGTCAGATTGTGAGTACTCTGTCAAACTTTATGCAAACAGATACAAATTTTTCCCATCTTGACACTTTCCTGTGCAAGTTTTTTTCAAGTGGCAATGCTATGTGTTAAAATAATTATTAAGTGAAATATTCAATCAAACTAATGAACATTTGTTTTGGTTTTTTTGTCCTTTTTTTGGTCTTGGAAAATGATGGATACGGTGTGCAACTATCGAAACACGTTGCGAGAATGAACACATGTAGATTTCTGAGCACGTGGTCTCCAAATTTGGAGATAACAACTTTGAATTTATGGTTATAATAGTTCAGTTGTTACTAATTTATCGTGCAATCTATAAAATGCTGGATTTTCCTTAACAATAATCTTTACATTTCATGTTGAGCAGTTGAAGGACGGGACTTTTGTGAAGCAGTCATGCACTACAGTTGATGGTTAAGTTGATGTTTTTTCACAGCGACTCCACCTTCTAATGTACAACGGTTTTTCTAGCATGTAAATTGGGAAAACTTTGGCATGGACATGTTAAGTTTGTATGTATCTGGTGTAGTAATTGCGGATGTTGTTTTGGTATGGACATGTATTTTGGCGTCCTAAACTTTATGTACTACATTGGTTCATAGAATGATAACTTTATGTGTCGCATTCATGGTTTTTTTTTTTTAATTGTGGATACCTAGTAAAATGCAAGCAAATGTGACTATGATAATGAGTATATGACTGACATTCTGTTTGCCCTAACGCAACTGTGACCTTTTAGTTGAACAATTTTTACTCTCAATGATAGTAACACAAGTATACTAATTGTAATGCACTAAATCCCAAAAAAAAAAAAGGGGAGGAAAAGTGATAGTAACGTAAATATACTAACACTAATGCACTCTCGCACAGTATGGAGGTTTCCCCTTTGCTGTCTAAATTCATCAATTCATCACCATTTCACATGCAGTCAGCAAAGATAGAATAAGCCATGACAGACACGTTGTCAAAAGAATTTTTGGAAACATAACATAAAGTTTTGAATGCATAAATGAAGAAAAAGACGTTAGCCACACAACTCAATTTCTTCATACAATTTAAAACAAACATTTAGACACATTACATATTCGGCGAAAATTCATGACGTTTTCTCCTTTCCTTTACCATTATCTTCCGTATTTTCCTTCCCATTATATTCTATATTTCCTTTTCCAATTCGGATAGTCACATTCACGGATATGTCCATATCCTTCCGGTCGGATATATGAGCAACGCTCTGTAACATACGTGACAAATCTACAATCTAATCTCCGCTTGATGCACCTTAAAATTTTGGGGGTTCCTCTTCAACGGCCGGATGGCCACCCCACTTATAATAACCACAGTCTCTATTGCAACATTGGAATAACTGACCTTCATTTGCATTTTTTTCTCCACTTCCATACACTTGACGATCCTCGAGAAACACCTTGGGCATACACGTTTTGTCGGGCAGTCAAACATCCAATGCCCCCGCTTCCTACAACTATGATAAACACCATTGTTCCTCCCTGCCATTGGCAACTGCCATTGCATCCACAAAAATTCGTAAATAGTTAGTTGAGAAGTAAATTGATGGAAGATCTATACTAATGCATTCCTAGTTGTTATTGCATCTATAGCAACATAAATAATCAGCCACGAACGTTTCCTAAAATTTAATCTCTGCAACTTACATTTTATTGTCATTTATTTCGCATTTTCACTTTTCCTACAAATCATTTGCATCTACAACAATTAGTGACAAAACAATCGCATGAATGCACATTGCTCTAACTAAATCTTTGATTTATTTACTTACTTCTTCACATTTCAGAGCATAACCCTCTCGTAATCTTCGTCCATCGGCATGCCCACTGCTCCGCCGTCGTCAATGTAATTAAATGAAATGGGTGTTGCTTCTCCACTCTTTGGTTAGGCTCGTCCAAATATGAACGATGGTTGGGTATTTGATATCCTTGATTTGGGGCTTAGGGTTTCGAAATCGCCTTCAAGTTGGGGATTTGGTTATTTCACTTCACATGTTTCTCTCTCTCTCTCTCTGAAATCTGTAAGAGACGCATTTTATTGGAGTTAAATCAAAGCATGATTCCAATTACATAGAAAAAGACATGTTTGGCAATGCTCAATTGGAGCTAAGTTGGAAATTCAGTTCATATTTGGACGAATCTAATTGACCAAGTCGGATTTCCGTCATCCACGTAGGCAAGTCTGTTAACGAATTTAAATGGGTGATTGATGTAGTTGGGTGGAGTGAAGTTTAGTGGTCAACGGAAAAATTTTATAAGTTCGGTGAGTAAGCTGTGATATGGTCCAAAGTTCAGTGGCTAACGAAGCATTTTACTCGATTTTTCAGTTCTTAGAAATCAAATCAATTTAAAGAACGAGCTGAATTCGAATCACAAACCAAATCAAATCAATTCAAAGAACGAGCTGTCGACTCTCCAATCCAGTTCTTCAATAAAATCTCTCTCTCTTCTTCTGCATCTATAGCATAAAAGTCTGTAAATATTGATGTGTGTATATACATAATTCAAATTCAATCCCCATCGATCGATTTGTGAATGGAAGCGATTAGAAAACAAGCCTCTAGACTCAGAGAACAGGTCGCTCGTCAACAGCAGGTGCTCTTTCTGTCTATATATACTAATACACATACTGATTTCTTTTCGTTTTTGTGAAACGTGATCGGATCCATGGTGCTTTTTTTTTCACTGGAATTTGGTGATCTGAGTCTATTATATTATAACATGTCCTTGCAATTTGTAGTGTGTTTATGATATCTAGCATTTATCGGTTTTAACAATGCCTATGATCGCTGCGATTTAGGTTTCGTGGTGGTCATCTTCATTGTCTTCAATTAGATGAAATTGAGTTTTAGGTGGCTTAAGGTAATGTGCGCGGTAATTTATTTAACTGGACTAAGAAATTGAATGCTGCGATTAGTCCAATTCGTGAAAATAACACAAGGATGTGCGTTCAATATGCACAGGGTTTATTTTGATGCTTGGGGCTCAGATTTTCTCTAGTAACTGGACTAAAAAATTGAATGCTGCGATTAGTCCAATTCGTGAAAATAACACAAGGATGTGCGTTCAATATGCACAGGGTTTATTTTGATGCTTGGGGCTCACATTTTCTCTAGTAACTAACTAAGCTAATTTTGTAGGATATGTTTAACTTTAATTTACTGCTCCAAGCTCTACTCAGTTTAGTTTTTTTCCTTACAATTATTTCAATTTTATTACTCTTGTTTTCTTTAGTAAATGTTTAGTATTTGAAAAAGTAGCCTGATGAAACAGAGATTGGTTTTCAGGCCGTTCTGAAGCAGTTTGGGGCAGGGGGATATGGAGGTTCTGACAATGTTTTGAATAATAATGGCGAGTTCCAGAAGCATCAGAAACTTGAGAAGCTTTACATATCCACTCGTGCTGCCAAGGTTACCTTTACTCTGTTAATTTTTTATGCTGTTTTTTCTTCTAGTATGATTTCCTTTTTGTCCAGCCTGTACAAGCTAGATCTGCAGGTAAATTCATAATGCTCGATCCATACAAATTTTGCAAAAAAAACCATTTGCTGTCTACTACCTATACATGCTCAACTTTCATTGTGACCAAGTGCATGCTGGTGCTCCCACCAACACATGCATATTAACCTTAGCAGCATGGACTCCTTGGCCTCTGTGAATACAATCGGTAGCCTCAGTTTAATTGTGTTAATATCAAAATATAGTTCTGTCTTATTAAAATTTGCCTTTTATTCCTATTTTTCAGCATTTCCAACGGGACATTGTTCGTGGTGTTGAAGGTTATATAGTTACCGGGTCCAAACAAGTTGAGATAGGTGATTAACTAAAATGGGAATTTTATCATTTATACGTCAATTTTATTGGTGCAAGATATTTGCATTCTATCTTTATATGTTTGCTTCAACTCAGGAACTAAGTTATCAGAAGATAGCAGGAAATATGGTGTTGATAATACGTGTACTAGTGGTCATACCTTATCCAAAGCTGCCACCAGTTTTGCACGAGCTCGTGCTCAAATGGAGAAGGAACATGGAAATCTTTTAAAAGCCTTTGGCACACAGGTTCCATTTGTAGCCCTTTTCTCTTTACCATATTGTAATTGATATTAATCTTAGGTTTGATGACCAGGCACGTCTTCATCTGTCCTTTCTGGTGTGAATGTTTGGTAGGACTTCAGCAGAAACAACACATGACTGCCCGTGCTAACCCATCACAGTATTCAAGTTGACTCTGAATCTCATCAGGCTTATATTCATAGATTGCGCATGCTAAATATCTTTTCCATACTTCTTACATATAAATTTTTTTCTTCAACTACAAATCTTGACTCACGATGACATGGTTATCACTGGTTGCACATATTTTTGACCTGCTACTGCTAGCCAACAAACTTAACTTGCACCTTACACATTTACTTATACAAGAAATGAATGGTCGTGTTTGTTTAATGAGATTTGTTTCTGCAAAAGTCGAATGGAGGATCAGACTTTGTTGAAGGAATTGGATTTTCAATTTTCTCTGCCAATTAGTTGCATCATAATGGATTCTACTTTAGCCTTTATGCTTCATGGTGTGGTTCTTTTAGATTTTTTTTTTGTTGGGTAAAGATTTGATTTCTCATTTTTTAGGTTGCAGAACCATTAAGATCGATGGTAATGGGAGCTCCTTTGGAAGATGCTCGTCATCTTGCTCAACGATATGATAGAATGCGACAAGAGGCTGAAGCTCAGGTACTTACAAGTAATTATTTTACTGTCTTTGTGCATGTTTTCCCTGAAAGTTTATTGTGGCTATTTGCAAGTTTCATGTTTCCAATTTTCTGCTACCATTGGTCTCATTCACAAGGCGTCATGCGAGGGTCATGTTTACTCGGCTTGAAAAGGAGGCACCATGTGTCAAGCAGCATTCTGTCCTAGTCCACTTCTGCCGAACTCAGTGTGGTGTCACTGTCAATTTCAGTTGCAATTATTTGAATAAATGCAATCAAAAACACATTATGTAAACATAATTGGAAGCAAAAGAATATTCATTTCTTCATGGTTTAAATATATATAAAGCCATATAATGGTAGAGCATGTGGTGAGGAAGGTTGATGTAGACTTAAGGTTGATTGGTTTCAAGAGGCCAAGCTGTGAAAGGTTGGCACGTTGTCAAGTTGTTTCTATAGTTGCTTAATATATTTTTATCCTATACTGTAACTTGTATCACTTTAATCATCTCAAGATTGTCATAGGTAGTTTATTGGAACATCTTCATGTGCCCTTGCAAGTTATTAATGTTATATTTTTCACACTTGGATAGGCTGTTGAAGTTTCCCGGAAACAAGCAAAACTAAGAGAAGGAACTGGCACACCTGAAATGGCTTTGAAACTAGAAGCATCTGAAGCTAAATTGCAAGATCTGATGTCCAATGTTGCTACATTAGGGAAAGAGGCTGCAGCAGCTATGGCTGCTGTAGAAGCTCAACAACAAAGGTTGACACTGCAACGATTAATAACCATGGTAGTGCAACTTTGCCTTCTAAAAGTATCAGGAGTATCTGCTCCACTGACTAAACTGTGAAATATGTCTTAGAATTATCATCTCTTTCTTTCTTCTTCACATTGTAGGTTGAAGCAGAATGCGCATACCATCAGCAAGTTCTTCAAATACTCGATCAGCTGGAAGGCGAAGTAAGCATAGTTTTTTCTTTGTCGTGAAGGAGCAAAAGCAAATCTATCTGCTCATTTTGAAGCTACAAAAATCCTAAAAAAAATTCTTCTTTTTAAAAAAAAAAAAATTAAAAAATAGATGATGTCAGAGCGCCAAAGAATTGAAGCAGCTCCTGCCCCAAGCTTGGACAATATGCCTCAACCTCCATCCTATGAAGAAGTAAATGACATATCTACTACACCAGTGCAAAATGGGTCAACCAATGGCATGGGTTACTTTCTTGGCGAAGTAAGTAGATAATTGTGTGTCTCTTAATAAATAACGGTGGAACACTTCGTGATGGCTATTTATTTTTGTTTTTCAATTTCGTGGATTCATTAACAGGTCATGTACACATATCAAGCTGAATCTAGCGTGGAGCTTAATTTGTCAGTTGGAAATTATGTCGTCGTTCGGAAGGTTTGCTAGCTTGAATAATATATCTTCCAACTAGCTTTCTGATAGTTTTTTTTTTTTTTTTCAAAACAAAATTATTTTTATCATCCATCGTACACTTACCAAATCCTCGACCGAATTTTACTTTCCTTCACCCCAGCTAACAAAATTAACAGGCAAAAAATATTTCAAATCCCGACTTTATTTTATGATTTCATACATGCTTCAATTAAGTTTTAATAGTCCCATGCATGGTAGACACACTGACTGATTATCCTCTCAGCTGTATGTACAATAATACATAAAGAAATTCTTGACATCAAGCCCTATTTGTTTTGAATAAAAATCAGATTTTTAGTAGATATTGATAAATGTGTGGTCGAAGAGTTGATAAAAGTTGAAGTGAGTCCGATGAAATGTGGTTGAAAATGATTTGGGGAAAATGAGTTTTAAGAAATGGGGGCCAAACGGGGGCTAAATTCCTTATGGATCAATCTCCACTTGTTCGCATATATTCTTCTTTCTTCTCTTACCCATGCTAGTATTATCACGCATTTATCTTATAAGTGTTTTGTCATTTAACAACTCAACACCCAAGACCATAAAGCATAAAAGGCGTAATGACTGTCTGCATTACTGATTTTTTAACTTACAATGATGTCTCTATAGCTGATGAATTGTTACTGTTCTGCTCCCTTGAACAGGTCTCAAACAATGGTTGGGCTGAAGGTGAAAGCAAAGGCAAGGCCGGCTGGTTTCCATTTGGATACATTGAAAGACGGGAGCGTGTTCTTGCAAGCAAGGTAGCCGAAGTTTTCTAAACTGTTGTGCTAATTTTGTTTGCAGTTCTGTATCCCATGACACACACACACACACACACACACACACACATTGTTGTCCAGTACATCCCACTTGTCCGCACCTGTTGTGTTACATATTAATAACTATCTACCGTTGGTTCTTAACAATTGCTGAATAGCCTGTTATTGTGTTTTTGTGCAATTTTGGTTATTAAAGGTTTTATCTTATGTGGAGACCCCGCGTTCATTTTATTTTATTTTTGTCGTTTTAATTTAAGTTTTTTTTGTTAATTAATCAATGTTCCCCAACTGCTAATACATTTTTTAAGTACTTAAAATACGTAACCTCATAGTAGTAGAGTAGCACTCGGAAGCAGTGTTTGGCTTTTTGCACCGTTTTGTACCCATGCTTCAGAAACGAACTTTAAGAAGCTTTTGTTGGCACAATGTGCTGGTTAAAAACTTGCTTGTTAAGTATGGCTGCAAAAATCTCTCAAATGTACACAAACACACTTGCATACAATATAGCTATCCTGAGCCTCTCAGTCCAGAGAAATACTTGGGTGGTGCGGCAGTCTAATGAGGAACCGTCACCTCATCGAATGGTCCAACCTCACCCAAACTCAAGTCCCGAGGTGGCCTTACCTCATTGGGTGATGTTGGACCCACGTACAACCCACCCAAGTATCTCTCAATCCTTTTCTTCATGCTATCATTATCTACTCTCCCCGCATGGCCCACCTAATCCCGATCCCTAGACGGGAGGGGAAATGCCTTGCACACCCGGATGTTACATACGATACCTAATATCGTCATAATATTAGCCAATTTCATTCTTTTAACTAATTGAGGCAAAATTTGCCACTGAAATTTTGGTTAGATAGCGACCGCTCATAGAGAAAGGTAGCGAGACTGACTGTTGTTGGGTGGAATTATCAACTAAGTGAATGTTTCATGCATCAATATTAACACTGTATTTCATTTAAATTATAATCATAAAACTTTTCTCATGCGTCTGTTTGGCCCCCTTTATATTGAAATAATCAATATTAGTTACGAAAATCATTATTCTTAAGGGACAGCTTAGATATAGGGCCACGTCAATCCTGACCTTGAAAATATTTTTAACTATGAAATTCCTATCTATCTTGGAATTTTAGCTTAAAATTAAGTCTGATATTAACTATAGCATCTTCAAATAAAAAATATATCATTATAATTTTGAAATAACTGAGTACAAGCAAACAGAGATGAAAAGGTACAAGTTACGCTTCATAATACTTTCGATGGCACATTCATAAACTTGGCTTCTCTCCGAGAGAATAAGACTGTGCATTGTGTTTGCTTAGACACTAAAGATCCAAATATGCTCATTTACATGGTACGTGTATGTATATAGGGAGGGATCTTTCATCCTAAGCATATGCTTCTATAGCTAGAAACGCTTTTCCCTTGGAAACTAGAAACCGATCCTGCGGGGTTAGAAAATAGCATATCAGCCAGGATATAAAATCATTTCCGTGTAGCAATTATTCTATCTTCTTTAAAAACATACACATATTATATGGACGGGTTGAAGACAAGCAAGCAAGAAGAATAGCGAGTATGATGAAGATGATAATGATCTGCAGTGAAATTAGAATGGTGAAATATCAGTAAAACAGGTCTGGTATGAGTGAAGAAAAACCAAATAGAGAGAAAGGTCGTGAACGCTCACTGAAGTTGAACTGTATTTAGGCTCGGCCCTACTTATGTAAGATTTCCTGGTCGAATCCAGAAGCGTTAGGAAAACATTGAAAACAATTGCCGATAGTGTATAACTGAAAAATGAAGAAGCAAAATCTACCTTTCGTTTATGGTTCCAGAGTCCCTACAGGTTTTTAGGATTGCTTCTAGCTGGTCCTTGGTTTTTCTAGCGTTGGGATCACTGTTGTCAACCTACAAAAAAGCAAAAGTGTGAAAATAAGACTCTAGTAACTAAATTTTAAATATCCATGCACGGAAAAGTGAAATGGAGACAGACACAGTAATTCATAACTAAATTTTGAATTTGCATCCAAGGAAATTTATTGAGCACATGTTAAATCAGATTTTTAATAGATTTTGTTAAAAATACACGAGGGGAACCTCCAAACAACTCTATACCAACTAGTCTAACACAAAGGTTTCAACCATGAGAATAGGTCTCCAATAATTCATACGCAAAATTTTGCAGTCTGAAATTTACATAGTAATGAATTGTCGGAGAATCATCATATATAATTGAATTCGTGGTAGTTAAAGGTTAATCTTTACAGTTATAGACTAAATAGTGGCATATTGATCAAAAAATTTCACACATGCTTTACTCATTTGATTTATTAAAGGCTTCAACATCTAATGCTTGAAGGAAGCCTGTGAAAAGAGAGAAAAGATGCAATCAAGAATGGTAATGGGAGAGATACTTTCTTAAGAGCACGTTTGGCTAAAAGCTTAAAGTCACACTTACATTTAAGAGTTTTCAAACATATTTGGGAAAATTACATATTTGTTATTTTAAGCAAAACAAGTTAGTCATTTCCAACTTTTACCAAAAAAAGACTAAAAACTTACTCATTTGCTTATATAAGTAAATTTTTTAAGCTGGATCGAGCACATATTTATTCATATGGATGGTGATCATGCTTAACCATGGACTGGACGACCTATTAAGTAGGACGCAATGTTGTAGAGTGGGAAGAGCATACATCAATGCAAATGGCAGTGTAACATCACACCGCTACACAAGTCTATAATACTACAATGGAGTGCGTTCCTACAAGCAACACACGTTTTCTTGGTCTACAATAGAAGCATCATACCTTGGATTTCAGCATTCGAGAGAAGTCATAAAAAGCTTCATATACATCTGACATTGTTTTGGTTCCATGAATAACTCTAGCAGTAAGACCTAGGAAGAACACACCAGGACAGAAAAGAAATAAGCATGAAATATAACTGGTACAAGATATAAAATAAGAAGACTTAACACAAATATATTCAAATTGCACGTATGGGGAACAAGGTCGAGGAAGGGAGATATTCCAGGATGAAGACTAAACATAGAAGAAAACAGACCACAATATGAAGTTTGGGGATGCAAATATTCCTAATTTTATGTCAGTTAATTTAATTAAAGAGATTAGTAGCTAAGGAGTTCTTTTAGCATCAGAGATCAGTCAGGACAAGACCATATATTAAAAGTTTAGAGCCCGTTTTGTAGCCATTTTTTTCAAAATGCATTTTTCTCTCTCTTCTTTTCAACCACACATTCTTTATTAAAATAATATTACATGTAAATCAAAAAAAAATTCTTATTTTTCAACAACACGTTTCACATTAATTTACTATTCTAAAATGCATTTTTACATAAAAATGCCTATCAAACACCACATAGTATGACTTCAAGGGACAAATTATCATTGCTGAGGTCATATTCAGAGCTACTGTGAGAAATACTTTATGGAAGTCGATGATTGAATGTGAGTCAATGATTTTTGCGCTTCCTACTTTCAAATAACAACCGATACTAATAGGTAAGGATCGAGTGCCATTATTTTCTATATTTACAAACTCAAGTGGGAAAGTCACATTGTATGAAAAAACATGAAATGGAAAATATCTCAGTTCCGACCGTCAAGTCTCTGTGCACACCATCACATGTCAACAATTACTGCCGCTGCGAACCCACCCCCAAACCATCAAAACAACTAATAATTCCCAAGACTGTTACCACCTCCTCAAACCTTATCTGTACCACCATCACAGACCAGGCACCAATATATGCTTGTATACTAGTTAGATACCAACCAAACGATGAAACCATGGCTAACCATCAAAATAGACAGTTCAAATATGTGCCAAGTAGAGCATATTCATCTTACCACGTCTCATTTTGACAACACCTCTGAAGACTTGAATATTATTGTAGCAAAGAGCTAATGTCCCAATTGCCATGATCTGGTAGTATTAGGAAAAACCAAATCAGATTCATCATTTTAGTTGGATGCAGATCATGATGCATGATCAGAACACATCACACATGCTGTGGGATTATACTTTCGTATTTTCGCTGGTGACACTTGGAAATGTGAACAAGACAATTCAATGGAAAGAAGCTCTACAAACATAGAAGGGAAACTTTGAGAGGAACATTCAGTGTGTTTTTGCTCTTGCATCCATCATCACAGAGTTCTATTACAGAGTTTGTAAACAAAAAATAAAAAATGAAGTGTGTATGAGAGGACTAAAATATCTGAAAATCAATATACAAACATATCTACCTGTGGAATCGCACAAAAGCGAAAGATAGCTGGATCTCGCAATGCAGCCATGTACGTTAGACAATCTTCAGCATGCGTCAAAGCATTTGTGACCATGTCATTAAGGCACCGTCCAGCCTTGACTGAGTTCTCCTCGTCTTTTAAGTCCTAGAGTAGATAAAATTAAGTATAACTGTCAAAGACACAACTTGCTCTTGTTGAAACAATATTGAATTTATACCTAAAACTAAATTTGAGATGATTGATTGAAAGAAGACAAAAAATTTGTGATGAAGCATGAGAAGATGTACCTCAAGTCTGTTAACATATTTGCTCCAAATCTGGCGGGGCCAAAACATACGTGACTTTGGTATCTCGTTTATATCTTCCAGATAGTCTCTGATAATGTTTGTTTTCTGCAATTATTGATAAGAAAGAATAAGGGCCTCACTGTTTAAAATACAGTGATCTCATAAGATAAATAGTGAATACTGCTTTGTTGCTATATGTATTAAAACTTAAAAGCGGTACTTGAAGAAATAAACCCATTGAGTTGGAGAGAGCATCAGAAGCTAAATCTTCTTTTTCAGAAGCATGAAATAGCTTCGACAGCCCTAATCCAACAAGTCCAGCTACATAGTGACAGTATTCATCGTAGTCACCCACCGTTTCCACCTGGAAAGACAAAAAAGTTATAAGTGGCATCCTGAGAGATTTCACTTGTCTTGCACAAAGGTAAATTAGAAGTTAGAACCCTGGAATATCATTCATCACCCAAACTATCTATTAATTATCTAATCTGTCACTTTTTAGTTAATGTGTATGATAACTGAAAAGAATGGGATGAGAACCATGTAATATTGTGGAGGAAATACAGTGCTGAAAATATCGCTAATCTCAAGAATTTCATCAAAAGCTAAGTAGAAAACAAGTAAATGTATTTGATGATTCTGCCA